TATATATATGTATAAGGCATGATTTGTTTAATAATAACCAACGAGGCTATTAAACAACAAGGTAATAAACTAAACTGTGCAGCAACAATAGCATTTAACATCTGTGTATGTTTCCACAGACATTTTTTTTGGGTTTTGCTTAAATAACGTTTCTGATTTATAAATTAACCAGTGACAGCACATGATTGCATTTAGCCTGTGTGTTGCTTGTGCTGCTCATTGGTCAAAAAGACCTAACTCTAATGTCATTATAGCTGCACATGCTCTTACAACAAATGTCTGCCAAAAGGTCAGTGAAACAGCAAAATAAAGCGGATTGGTCAGTATAGGCTTCAGCATTCTTCGATGTAACCTTAGACGGTACATTTATAGGTGCGTTGGATTTTTTTTTTTTTAAATAACAATCTAAATTTATTGATCTCCCACTGGAGATATTTACCTCTGTATTTAACCCATCCCCTTGGGGAGCAGTGTCCATTAACATAATAAATTACCAGCTCAACCCGGTTTAACCATGTGGATGTATTTTAAGACAATTAAACTATTCATTTTAAAACCACTAAAACTGATAATGCTCTGAACAAAACAAGAAATTTTATGTTTTTATGTTTTGTTTTGTTTTTTGCTTTATTCATGACTAATTTATCTTACATAAAATGTGCATTTGTTTGCATTGTTTCTATTATCATTGCAGAGTTTTAATGCTGAAGTTTACAAAACTTGTCTTGGGCTGTGTGTTTGTTCATGGAGGCTTTTTTTAATTGCAGGTTCATTCACATATATTTATTTAGTGTGTGTCTTCTGTGACATTAAAGCTAGTTTCCACTAGAGGATGCTACATGCCACTTTTATTTGTTGAAGTTTTGTGAAAAGAAAGCAAGAGTTGTACCAATTTATGTTGCTAACTACCTAAAGTTGAACACAAAAACCTTTCAGTTATGTGTGTCCAGAGGAGTCAGTTGCAATCAAACACTATTACGGTATATTCCAAAAAAGACAGATAAAAACATCAGAAGCACTGTTGGCCAGCCAACCAGTGGTGTTTTTTTTGTTTTGTTCTCTAAAAACAGGTAATTATTGTAACATACAATAATTTGTCAATTAATCAATTCTTTCTTTCTTTCTTTCTTTCTTTCTTTCTTTCTTTCTTTCTTTCTTTCTTTCTTTCTTTCTTTCTTTCGTTTTGCTCCCTTAATTAATTCTACCTTGTTTATAGTTACATTGAAATGAATTCCCCGTCCCCCCAAATTACTGAACAAATTCCATTCTACTTTAAAGAACCCATTATTTCAAATTTTCCTATCACACTTTAACAAGCCATGTTGTTGTTCCTAGAGTATCCTAAATAGAAGGAGGGCCCCAGCCAAAATTTTTACACAGGACAAAATATTTTAGTGATAATTGTGTTCTGCATAAACTCATGCTGTTATAGACTTAAACTGCTTTCCTCTGCTGTCTTCAGTCTCTTTGTACGCACACATTTCTCAATTGTTGCATTTTTTCTTTGATTTATTTATTTTTTTATTATTTTTGACTGTTTGACTTCAGACATCTGCCTCAAACGACTGTTGATGCTAGGCTAGGTTTCTTCCTAAAAATTGGAGTTCCTTCCCACTGTTTCCTTGCTTATAATAAAGGGTTTCCAGTCTAATCTGCTTAGATGGACGTTTTACAGTTATCTGTCTGCATTGGATACAATCAAACTATGTATAATAACTCAAAATCAGACCTTTTTATGTAGAACTATATCTGAATAAAATGCCAAGTTTTTGGCTAAACTAAACATCAGTCTGATTTTGTCTTCTTTATTTTGAGATTCTTCTGTTGTGATTTGTTTTGAATTAATGTGTAGACTTTGACGACTGTTGAGTCTAACTATGTCTTTTAATGTAAATAGATCCAATGTCATTTTTTTAACAGGGAACACATACGCGTGTATTGTAGAATAACTGTATTCTACAATTCGGCTTCATTTAATTGTTAGTTTTTTTTCTCTCGCGCGTTTGAGCCTTACGGCGCACCGTAGCAGTGATGTGGCTCAGGAAGCTGCCTTCCACGTCAGAAGGAAGAAGGGGAGAGCGGACAGGGACAGCTCACCACCGAGAGCTCTTCGCTATTTTCTACAGGTAAATACCTGCAGTTAGACATTGAAGAATTGTATGTGTGTCACAGAAAAACTATTGAGCTTATTTTCATCAACATTCGCGATGTTTTTTTTAATTTTTTATTCAGAACAACGGTAACATATAAATACAGCAAGCTAACGTTAACGTCCTCCATTTCAATCCTGGATGAAAGCTAACCTGCTGTAAGCTAACACTGGTTTCAGAGTCGAGTGTTTTGAATGCATTCATAGTCCTAATATCTATGTTACCAAACAAATAATTTAATGCTTTAACTCATTGTTCAGCTGTTTGTTTTGACGCATACAAAGCTGCTAAGGCAGAATTGTACGCTATAACTTTAGCTGCTTTTGCTAATAGCTTCTAAACAGCTTTGTACTTTCTCCTGTTGTTATAAGATAAGGTGACATAGTGATTGAGCAAACATAATTAATAAAAGCAAAATGTATAGATGTATTGTAACAATGCTCAAATGTAACACATGAGTAAATAAATAAAGTATAAAGCAATATTGAGCAAAAAACGTGGGCATCTAAGTATTAACGTCAAAGATACAATATGTAAAAGCATCCTAATGCAACGGGAAATATATTTGACTACGGTGCACAGTTTGTCCAAATGAATTAGTAATTAAACTTTTATTTTACCAGTACCAAATTATATTAACGTAAATAAAATTCTAAAGATTCAATTGGCTTTCTTGCAAAATGTTTGTAGATAAATTTGTTCTTCATGTGAGGCTTTTACAGTAAAATACTTTTTCTTTTGTTAATTTCTTAACATTTGTTTTTAAAATGTTTAAACATGATAACATTTTAATTATTTGTAAGGTCACATCAGGTCTTTTACAACTCAGGGAGACCTAGAAAATAGTTTAAAACAGCAAAATAAGCAATTTCATATTTAGATATTACCGTTTACTGCATCTTTTATATACTTTCAAATATACCTGTGTCAGCTATCTTTTTGGAGTTTAATTCTATAGTTATTTATGTTTGCACACTATTTTTTGGAAAAATATCTGTATTTCCAAACGGCAGGTACTTTAATATAGATCAGCCATCAATGTGAACAATTGTAGATTTTTTTAATGAAAAATCTTTTCTTTCTAGTTTTCTCATTTTTTCATTGTTACTATAAAAGTATGAGGCATTTTCCATATGTTACAAAAATATTTGAGTTAATATAAGTAATTTGTTTAGTTTTTTTACATTTTAATTCATGGGTGCACAAGATTGGGCAAAGCTAAAGCTAGAAGCTGTTTTGCACGAATCATAGGCTCCAGTTTTTATTCCCTTAACTTTGAAATGTCTTAACTGCACATAGGAGCAGGCAGCTTGTCAATATCTTGTATCTGTATTTGGTGCTCCAACGTTATCTCTAGAAATTGAAAAACCTTCTCCTCCTATAATTACATATTGCTTTCCATTATGGGTCTTTTGTAGTTATTTATTCATGTATTTGTTCAGGCTTTGCTCAGTTAGTGTTAATGCATTTTTTATTATTGAGTCCTTCATTGTACTTATTACACTGTTTTCTCTTTTCTTTACTGATCTTTCAGTCTATTTTTTCATCTTTTCCTTACAGACATCTAACACAAACTCTGGGATTCTTCTAAAAGTCCCACAAACCAAGCAGCAAGATGACGGCTGCAGAAAATGTTTGTTACACTCTGATCAATGTTGCCTCTGACTCGGAGCCCCCTTCTGAAGTCAGCTTAAAA